CCCCCTAGCCCATCCCCTTTAGGGAAGGGAAAGCCGTGCCCCCAGGGAGGCAGCAGAGGCAAAACACGCAGGAGGACTGGTGAGCCCTGGAGCAGTGCAGGTCATGTGCCTTCCTGCGGTCTCTCGGGCTGGGTGATGTTGTTTATCCGAGCATTTTCTTACACCTGGGCCACAGGACACATCCTTCTTTCTGTGAGTCAGATGGCCGCGCTCTCTGGGGGTGGTCCATACAAGCAGGAGGCTGGACAAGGGGTGTGCTCCTTGGGTGGGAATTTCATGGTTCGGAGGTAACAGCAGCAAGAGGGATGTGACTAGGGGTATCTAGCCCAGCCAGTCCATCAGGACTTCTGCTAACTTGTGGTGAAGGTGCAAAGTCCAATTCCAGAAAGCCTCAAGGATGAGTGGATTTGTTTGTTTATTTATCCTTTTTCATTCACTCATTTTCCCCCAGTGGGTTTTAGTATAATCACAAAGTTGTGCAACTATCAACACTCGGATTCCAGAACATTTTCATCACCCCAGAAAGAAACCCCAGACCCATTAGCTGTCATTCTCCATTCCCCCCTCTCCCTAGACCCAATCCTTCCTCTAAGGCCAGGCTAGGACAAGCCTGCCATGGTCAGCGGCAGAGCACTCATTAAAGAAGAAAATAGTAGAGAAACAAGACGCTAGAGAAGCGGTGAACCTCGGTTTCCTGTAGAATCCGTTGGAAGCCTGACCAGCTAAAAGCTGAATAAAGTTTCTCACTTATCTGGCTCACAATTTCTTAACTCAGAGACTAGAACAAAACAATAATGCTTGTTTAACTGATCAGAATGGGTGGCTAGTACTCTGGACTCAGTTCTGTCCAGTAAGGAAGGACTAGCTGGGAGGAACCATGCCCTGATGCTAGGGAAGAGAAGTCTGGATACAGGCAGCCATGTACCTCGGACCCCAGCCGAAAGGCAGAAGTGACGCCATGACATGGGAAATGGGCCCAGAGGTCAAAAGCTACAGGCCATCAAAGACTATATAGGATGCTTAGCTGAGAAGTGCTGACTTGGAGATACATGATACCTGTTACCTAGTATCTGAGGGGTCATCCCATCAGAGACAAGATTTATGCAGGGCCCCAAGTGGCATAAATACGACCAATGGGTGGCAAATTACAGGAAGGGAAGGATTTCCTGATAGTCATGCCATCTTCAGGCCAAATGGGCTGCCTGTAAGGTAGAGAGTTAAAATGCAATCTGGATATTCAATAAGTGGATGCTGTAGAGGTAATTTGAAAAACAGAAGGTGATGTGACAACTGTGGCATTCCCACACTTGAGTGGTGAGGTCAGCTGTGAGGTGTGTTACAAGTGATCTGTTACAGCAATAAAACGCTGAAGTATGTGATTTACTGTCTTCTGATTCTGGGTTATAATTATAACACCACTCTTATTTGCTTGCATTAGTAGGTATTTTCTTGAGCAGAAGTGAAAGCCTCCATGTTCAAGACGGTGGGCTCGCTCATGCTCAAGTGTGTGTACAGGCAACAAGGGGTGGCGTATGATCGGGATAGAAGACTGGTGGGATGCCTTCCAAAGCTGAGACTCCTCAAGGGTAGGGGGCACCCCCCTCAGCCTTCCACCCTAATCGAGACCTACTAGAGAAGAGGTGCCACTGCATTCCTGCAGCATTTATCTGCAGGCTGTAATGTCTCAGTCTCGTCCCGAGGAGACACTGGTAACAAGTCTCAGAGTCACGTCTGAATGCTATAGAAAGGGAGAGTGGGGACTAAATAAGTTACATCTGCCTGTGTGTTTCATTTTCACAGAACAGTCATTCAGATGATTTCAATGGGACCAAAGAAAAGTTGGCCTTTCTATTTTGTTTAAATAAAAATAGTTATAGATGATGTAAATATGGCCAGGGAACATTATTTGCTCTTTGAAACATTAAACATTTTTCCTCTAAGCAAAAAAATGACATGAACTAGTAACTAACGGAACCTGAACTTAGCCAACCTCAGCCCCATCCAAACTGGAACTGACTTTCACTTTTCATCTCCCTGGATAAATGGCCTTGGCAGAAACTGCTGTCACAAAGGCCAACTGTAGAAGTGCCACCATAAAAATGCTTGACTGACCAACGCAGGCCCTTTCGGATTCTTCTCTGACTTCTTTTCCATGTCCTTTGTCCGCTGCTCTGCCAAATGACCAGATGTTAATTACTCCTCTGGAATGCAAGAATCGCCGAGCTGATGGAAGGTATCTGATCACCTGGTGCAGTGCGCTACTCGGCAGCCCTGTGATTTCTGGCACCTCATAATATTTTTTTATTACAGAATTTTTTTCATTATAAAACTATTATTACCACATTATAAAAATGTGGAAAGTAGAGAAAAGAGAAAAATCACTTATGATCCCATCATCCCAATAAAATCACTGCTTGCATTTGGGTGCATTGCCTGCTTTTCTTTAGGGCTCTGTGTGTTGTTACGTGGACCACATGTGTGTAGCTCATTGGTACCCCACCTCCTCTGAAAAGGATTTGCAGCAGCTTATCTAAACACGTGTCACCACACAGACCACTCCAAAGCCAGCCTGTCCTCCTGTCTTCCGGTTTCCAGCCTGTGGACTCCATTTGCCCTTCGTCCAGGTTGAAACTTTTGCCCCATTTGGACTCCTCTCCCTCAACTCCAACATCCACTTCCACTGATCCTTCCGTCACTACCCCTCCCTCACATCTGCCCTGCCCACCCCATCCAGCTGCCACCACCTCCAGTCCTGTTCCTTGCTACCTATATCGCTAAACGATGACCACGTTTCTGACTCGCTTCTCTGCCTCTACTTCCTCTCCTTTTCCTTCACTTTGAACTGCGAATTTTCTCTCCTCATTTTCATTGCTCTCCCTGAACAAGATAAAAAAAAAAAAAACTGGCTTTCAGCTCTTTGACAAAGCACCCTCTTTGGCTGGACATTTACCCACATGTACAATTTGTCCCCCGTCTGCCTTTCTTGCCCTGCTACCACTGCCCGACACTAAGCATCTGCTGATGATCTGTACACACGAACTAGTGTAGAGTGAGTGAGGCAGGCCAGGTGCCTGCTCCCTGGGGTTCCTGAAGGGCGACTGTCACCCTTGCCAGTCGAGGGGGGGTAACAGGTATTAGAGCTATCCTTCTGCCCCTAACAGCTATAAAAGTGGACAGAAGAAACGAAGCAGCTGTTTCCAAGCACTGGACTACAAACAGAGCGGGGCTGTGAGACGGGAGACAAGGGCAGCACAGGAAGTGCAGTCCCGGCACCTGGCTTTCCGCCCGGGGGCACTTTTTACGCTGCGGCTCAGGGGAGTGGAGCTCACACAGAGTGATACAGGCCCCAGCATCTGCACGTGGCAGGCAGCTCCGGACCGAAGAAAACAACCTAGTATTTGCTTTTCTATGTAGGCTGCTCAAATTTGGGATTTTCAAAATATATAATTCCTCTAAAATTTCCATGGGAACTTTTCTCTCTTTATGCTTTATCTTCCTTTCATTTTTTTTTTTTTAAAGATTTTACTGGGGAATTGTGGAACGAGAACAGATAAGTTGCTCCTTTTGATCTTCAGTCTAGTTGTGGCTTCACTGGCCCATGTTGGTATTGTGATCATTGCACTCTTCCTGGGTGAGGCAGTCACTCGCCGGCCATTGGACAGCCGCTCATGGTAGCTCACAAGCAGCTCGCACCTGCTGCCGGCCAGCCCCACTGCAGCCTACGCTGTTGCCAGCGACTCACAGCAGCCCAGCTCCAGGTCGAGCTGTTGTTCACCATCTTAGCTGTAGAGGGCGCAGTGTCACTGGCCCTCATGTGGGATCTGAACCGGGGCCCTGATGCTCAGAGCTGGCATCCCAAGCCAACTCCTAACTAACGCGCCACTCGGCCGGCCCCCTTTCCGTTTTCTTTAGTTGAAAATACTAAGCAATCTTGCCCAAAGTTTCAAGGAGGACTCCCACGAAAAGCAGACAAAAACATTTTTAGGCAATGATGCTTTCTGCCTCTCTGGCTTCTCTCTGCCAAGCTTCACTGCCTACTATGGCACAGAAGAGGTTAGACACCAAACCTAGGGCATCTGCGTCAATGGGACATGTGAACACCTCCGCAGTGGTTTAAAAGGCCAGGCCCCTGGGCCAGCAGCACTTGGCAGCAGACGGAAACCGCAGGGTGGATGCCCATCACGGGCAAGCCGTCCGAGGCCATGTTAATGCCAAAGCCGTACTGAGAATGGCTGAAGCCAGAGCAAGTGCCCCAGACACCAACTTCGAGAGGGGCGAGAGGGAGCTAAGACTATACGGAGCACATCTGGGGAAACACTAACTGGGGACCGACAGGGGGTTGCTCTCCTCACACCCCATATACTGTCCCTTCCCCTTATGGCAGTTTCCACAGTTTTCAAAGACCACCGGCCCAAATCCCACTTCTTCCTGCTGAGCTCCATCCCCGAGGAATGTTTAGAGTCCCTAACGGCTGCCTTTCGTATTCTGCTGGACAGATGAAGACCTACTGGGAGCAGCAGGTGTCTGCAGCTAGCCTTGAGGCACATTCCTCACGGAGGGTGCTCCTCCTACCCTGCTGAGCATATCTGCGGAGGATCTCCCTTGAGTCACCCCAATCTGCTGCTTAATTCAGGTAAGGACCCTACGCTTCTCCCAGACAGAGCCCGTAGGGGCTTTCTCCTGGAACACATCACAGCCAAGCTAGCACCTCCTAACGGGCCAAACCTGAGATTGGTTCTGCCCTCACTGCTGCCTCTCCTGAGGCCCGAGGTGGGTCCTGTGAGAGGACACTCCTTACCCTCGCCCTCCCCAAAGTCACCACAGGAAGGCGGCCTTTAGGTGTCATGCTTGTGTAGTCTGAGGGACTTTTGCCAAGTTCAGGAGCAAAGCAAACCCAGGCTTGCACACGACAGGGCCTGGGGAGTGCAAGGTGGCCCAGCTGACCACAAACGTATGCTCACTGATTGCCCCCCAGAATGGTACAGAGCTTTCCATCCTACCATCAGCCAGCGGCTTGCAGGAGAGGGCGTCATCGAGGTCTCGGGCAGTTGATGGGTCAATGGTGAAGACACAGTCTTTTCTAGGAAAGAGTATAGATATGATTAGTGATGCCACGAATAATAGAAACTTTACCCCATTGGAATATAGCTGTAAAGAACAGTTATTGTGGGGTGGCCAGTTGGCTCAGCTGGTTAGAGCACAGGCTCATAACACCAAGGTTGTCGGCTGGATTCCCTCAGGGGCCAAGGAGCTGCGCCTTCCTCAGCTTGATTGAAACAACTACTTGACCTGGAGCTGATGGATCCTGGAAAAACACACTGTTCCCCAATAAAATTTCCAAAAAGAAGAACAGCTATTGTGAAAATGTGCGAGTGGTAGGCGGCAAAGTGAAGAGTAACTCCTATGATGTCTCTCTGAGAAGGGGCTCTTCAGTAAAACGTGAGACTGGGGACAGACACATGGGGACGATGATAACAAGGCTCCCTGCTGTCTCTGTGTGTGTGCCTCTCTCTTCCTCTCTGTGAACTGGCACCTGCTTCTCCCGGACCCCGACCAGGAGCAGGTGTGGGCAGCGTCGCTGAACCAGGCTTCCCTGGAGGGTTGCCCGACGAGAGGCGCAAGCCGCTTCGGTAAATTCGTCTCCAGTGGACAGTTCTTACTTCTGCTTCCCTTTTCCTCGGTAGCTTATGGGAACCTGTCCTTGAAGGGTCTATGACAGGATGATTTACGGCTCTTCATATCTCACAAAAAAGGGGAGTGTCAAAAAATAAATCACCTAATTTGTTAGGACACGGGGGGGGGGGAAGGGGGCCCAAGAATAAGTTTTGCAAAAAGCTTTAGGCCATGCAGTTAGTCGCAATACAGTTCTACTTAGAAATGATCCTCATCGCAGTTTGTTTCCGGGAAGAACTGTGCTCCTCACCCGAGCTCATATCATCAGGTACACCCTATGTCCACTCATCCTCAAACACTACCCCTATGCACACCTCACTCTTACTTTGTGAAGCCCCAGGATATTCTCATTTTGCTTTAGAATTTCTCAACTAACATGCCTCACCCAGCTCAGCCATTCCTACCATGTAAATACCTGAAGATTTGGGCAGAGTTTGGCCTCAATTCTCTGTACCCTCTGCCCTTTCCTCCCAGGCGCTGGCCTGGAGAGTGGGGTGTTCAGCAGTAACCACCCCCCTCCCCCACACGCAAGCTCTCTAATCAGTGCTCCCTGCTTCCAATGAACTCTGCCCAAGTTCTTCCTCCATTTCCTCTGGTACCATTGCTGCCATTCCCCTGTCTGCTTTGGACTCGTCGCCACTGATGATGGTGGATAGCCTGGTACCCCCCACAATTAGGCTTTGTTCTTAAAGCCTTCTTTCCTTGTGTCGCTTCCCTGCTCCAAACTTCCCCAAAGCCCTCAGAGGCTGCCACGCCGCTCTGGGCATTGCCTGCAAAGCCCTACGGGCCTTCATCTGTCCTCTTACTGTTCACTTTCTTTACTTGATCACTGCACTGTACACTGAAGCTGATGTATAATATTATATGTCAACTATAAGTGAATATATATATATGGGACGTGGAGTATAATGTGGTAGTGGAGTCAAGGGAATTATAATAGATATGTATGATATTGGGGGGGAGTGGGGCAGCGGGGTTGGGTGAGGGGGGCTGTCACCTCAAGGGGTTAAAAGTATAACTATTGCACTGTGTTGTACAGCTGAAACTAATTCTAAAAAATATGTATTTTACAATAAAAAATGATAATTAAAAAAAAAACCCAAAAGACTCTTAAATGGTAAATGGATAAATGAATAACCAAATTATGGTACATCTACACAATGGAATACGACTCAGCAACAAAAAGGACAAATTTGTCATGTAATTTTATCTTTCTGAGAATGTCCTAATAATGGCATCATACCTTACAGACGCTTGGGAAAGTGGCTCCTTGAACTCAGCACACTCCCTCTGAGATTCATCCAAGTTACTGTGGGTACGAACAAGAGCAGACCAGTGGCTGCCAGGGGCTGGGGAGGAGGGATGCTGTGATCATACAGGGGTGCTCATCCTGGGGAACGGACCTTTCCTGCATGTGACTGTGGTGGTGGTTACACGAGTCTATACATGTCTTAAAATTCATAGAACTGTACAACAAAGGTAAATTTTACTGTTTATTAATTTAAAATTAAAAAATTTTAAATGTGAGTTTTGAATCAAGGAAAGTAGTAAAAATGTGCTTATTAATAGAGTGGATCAATAGGTACTAGAACTATGGAGTACTTTTTTCCTTTATACGTTTTTCCTTTCAAAATTTTCACTACAGTTAATATTACTTTAATAAATGGGAAAAATCAGCATTGTAGAGACGCTCCTTCGATCAAAAATAATTGTCAGTTAGATCCACGATAATGCTTATAAGGATGTTCAGCGATCTTGTAGCTCGCATTGCTCAATATAGTCAATAGCTTTAAAAATCATGAACCTGGTAAGATATGTACCCACTGGTACACTAAGAAAAGAGGGCGGGGAAAGGTGGGTACCACTCAGGTGGAGGGACCAAGGGCACCTGGAGTGCAGTCCAGAAAGAGTGGTTCATCAGGAGATCTGCTCTTCTCAGTAAATGTTTCCAGAAGAGGCGCACACAGTGTGGGGAACATAAATGTTGAGGTTTCAGGATATAAAGAAATAATTTCTGTTCCACTACATAAAAGAGGTTGTAATTATGTAAGAATGCCAGAGAAAAGAGAGACACTGATCGATGTCCCCTGGAAAGCAAGCTCCGCCAAGGCTGTGTTCCAGTGCTACGAACACAGGCTGCAACTCACCAGTGTTTGCTGAATGAATGAATGAATGAATGCACGCATGCTGACAGGAAGAGACAGGGAGGTGAAATTAATCCAGACACCACAGAAACGGGCTCTAAATTGGTGAGGATCTTGAACTTGATTCACAAGGTCAAGAAGGAACTGTCTGCTTCTTGCTTCTTTTTGTATCCCCCATACAAGCTGGCAAAATGCTTTATATTTACTGAGTGCTCAATAAATACTTGTTGAACTGAAACTAAAATGTCAGACTTGGAGATGGGAATATTTTTCCATCATAATGACATCATAAGAAGATGAAAGAACGTCCCTGTAGTCAAAATCAAAAAGAACTCTCCTCACTTGGTGGAGGCCAGTTTACCGGTTTACTTGGGAGAGTTGATTAGGAAGCTATGTTTTCTTAAAATTAAATGTCTCTGGGTGATTTGAAACTTTCACTTTTATGAATGAATCATAATGCCCACTAAAACATTTCCAGCCTCAACTAATTCAGCCATATATAAAAGAGTAAAACTATGAGGTTTCAATTGTTAGTTTGTCAATGTCTTCTTTGAGGGGATCCAGAAATTGTTTGAGAAAAATCTTAGACTAACCTGCAAGCACTCAAACCAATTCTTTTCTACTTTTTAGAAAATCTGCTCTTAAACCAGAAACATACAAGTCTAAATTAAAACAACTCTGAGGAACAGTTTTCTGCTGGAAAGACATACCATCCAAACATAATTCTTGATCAGGGGTCGGCAAACTACACTCACAGGCCAAATCGAGCCTGCCACCTGTTTTGAATGGTCCACAAGCTAAGAATGGTTTTTGCATTTTTAAATGGCTGAAAAAAAATCGAAAGAACATTATTTCACGACATGTGAAGATTATATGAAATTCCAATTTCAGTACCCACAAATGAAGCTTTATTGAAACACAGCCATGCTTTTTTGATACCACGGCAGAGTTGAGTAGTTGTGACAGAGACTGTGCTTAAACCATCTGGCCCTTAGCAGAAAGCTTGCCGACCCCTGTTTTACATCAATGCTTCCCAATGTGCCAAGAAAGTGTTCTAATTTTTTAAAAAGGTCTTGTGATTAAATCAGTTTGGGAAATGCTGGGCCAATTCCTTAATTGTAGGACTTAGGGCTTTCAATATGCTGATATCAAACAGTTCTTGCCGGATTCACATGACTATGGCACTTTTTGGGGCAGGGCATCTCCCAGGTACAAGGTTCCTCAGGAGAGCACCCTCTCAGAAGTGATGAACTTCAGAGGAACTGCCTGCACGGGCCTCCAGTGGAGTCCTCATCCCACATGGGGCCTCGCCACCAAGCCCACCCCAAGGGACACTGCCAGCAGTCCACCAAGTGGCCATGCTACTCAAGCTGATGAGGGCCTTGCCACTTCATCACTCAGTGCCCCTTTCACAGGGGAAGTTTATGCAGTACAAGGACTCACTTTTCTGATGGTTTGTTTGCATCTTACAGACATGTGAATTTTATCCCTTTGGATTTCCCTCTTTGCTTTGGCTGCTAGGAAACACAGAAAAAACATCTGTGATGTCTCTAAAGGATCTTATTGGTAGTTTGAACTTTGTGAACTAACCTTTATCCTGACTGTGCCTAATTTTTCTACGCATGTATTCCTTTTACCCCATATCCTAATTAAAAAAAAAAATCCACTGCATTATATGTATATCTGCAAGCTGCCACAAATCGCATTTTTAAAAAAGCAGGGTATAAATAAATGCATATGTATGTTTGTTGAGGAGATGCAGTAAGAGAAAGAGGCATTTGGTTTGGGCTACTAAGAGAACTAACTTCTAGACAGAGTCAAGTTCGCAGAGCTCCCAACAAGTATTTGTACTGCGGCAGTGGACTCCAACGTGCTCTCTCACGATGGAAAACTGGGAGAGGCAAGGGAACAGTGAGTGACCCTGACAAACCCCAGTCCTCAGTGCTGAGAGCCAGTGATTTAATCTGCTGTCATCGCCACGGTTACGAATCGGCCTCGATGTGGTGCAGGAGGGCTCCTTCTGGTTTGGGGCCACAGCGCTGGGGAGCCTGGCCCCACAGGGGCGGTGCACCATGCAGCTGTTACACTCTGTTAACATGCTTGGGATTTTACTGGCTCCTATTCTGGAAGGCTTTGGTCTCACAACCTGCAGGGAGCAGGCTGGCCTGCCAGCTTTTAGAACCTGTGAGACCAAATATTTAAAGAGTTCCGCAACAATGGTTAGAAAGAAGCTAACCCTGACCCACAGAAAATAAAGTGCCAG